AGAACACTGCTGTTTCTTGATCTCTCAAAAACTCTTGGACTCGGGCGAAGTAATTGTCTCTCTTCTCCCTCTCCGACTCAGGTTAACGACTTTGTTAAAGCTCTCACTCACTGCCGCGCATTGCGCCAGAACACTCGTGGCAGCGTCAACCGCGGGAAATGCAATGCTGCATCAATGTGTACGACTTCTGATACCCGGTCTGATCGAATACATAGCGAAGGTCGCCCCCTTGGTTCACGATGGCTCCATCACGGAACCTCAAGTTACAGCCGTCGGAGAAGTGTGGAAGGCGTTCTCAGCGTTCTTCTCCTCCACACCCGAACCCCATCGTAAGTCTCAGGTCGGGCGCACCTTCGTCTTGCTGACACGCCTCCCCTTTCTTAGGCGTTCGCCTTCTCGGCGTCCTATTACCTACAATTGCGTTGTTACTACCCTCTTCCCAGGCTCCCATGGCTCCTGTGGTGTCGCAGACGGTATCGCAGCTGTTGCAATACGCGACCTCGTCCCCAGCAGCATTTAAGGATGCCGCAGCCCAGTTCGACAGTAACACTCGTGAGCTGTTGGAGCAATCCATACGACGGGCGGTTGGGGGCACTACGTCGATGGCAGGACAGAGCGCGGCCAAACCACAGATCTCACTACGCTCTTTCTAGACGCGTTCGGTTCAATTACGTATATTGTCGTTTAGTATATCTTTATTATCGGAATCAGTTAGTTTCTCTTCCCGCATTTGTGCATCCTCTTGTGTTCCTTCCAGCCATCTTTGAGACATCCGGAATTGCAGAAGAAAGCCCGACCACTGCAAATGCCTACACGACAGTGAGAATGAGATAGATACAAGAGAAACAGGAACGTACCACCACACTTTTTCCAGGGCCCAGTATCTCCGCAACTGAAGCATCGCTGCCATGGGCCAGCCTTCGCAGTTCTAGCTTCCTCCTCTAGATCGACGCCCTCAAAATATCCTCCAGGTTCGTCCATCTTCAGCTGCCAAACATCGCCGAATGTACGAGAAATGTAGTCGCCGCGACTGGGAACATAATCGGTATTGGTGAAGCCGCCGAAGAGGTAAGTTTTTCCAGTCGCGGGATCTGCCATCAGACGTGCTTGGCAGCGGTACGTCGGAAAACCGCGAGTGAGCACCTGCTTCCATTTCGACTGTTGCGCAGCGTCGGTAACCGTCGGGCTTGTAAGAGGTGTAATAGGTGGAGGACGCGCTGGGTCTGGAGGCATGTATACAAAGGTGTCGGCGAAATATGAATAGTCGAATCCTTGATTCTTGGAAGGAATGTAAGTGGGGATACCAGGATGATACCCTCCGAACACGACGACTTTGTCCAGCTTCTCGTTCTGCAGGAAGGGCGGTCAGGCCAGCACTGAGATTGAGCAGGGAGAAAACATACGTATGTGCATGCCAACTCGGTTCTGGGGCAGGGAGGGTTTCCTGCGAACCGCTCACGGCGCCATTTCTCCTGCTTGATGTCCCAGCTCCAAAAGTCCTCGAAGCAATACGCCTCCGAGGAGCCGTGCGGCTCATTTCGAAGACTACCGGCGTCGCGAGAACAGTGGCCGAACAGGAGGTAGAAACGGTTCTTGTCCTTGCTCACCCAACTGCCAGGGTTCTTGCGCGGCCCTGGGCAGGAGTAGTCGTTGTCTGGTGGAGGCATGACATATCCAGTTAGGCGACGCCAAACGTTTGTCTTCAGATCCAACTCCATGAACAAGTTACACCCGAGGTTCGTGGTGAGGTGCGTGCCCCCAAATATGAATAATTTGTCGCCGATCACTTGATGTGCTGCGTCTTGCAACCTCTGTCCAGGCCATGGCCAATTCTGAACCACGCCAGCTCGTTTATCCTCAAGAGTAGGAGTGTACGTTGTCGTGATAGTACCCCATCGCTCCTCCACCAGGTCGAAGTAGTCCATCTGCTTTCGTCCAGTGAAGAGTAGTGCTTTGTCGTTGTAGACCTCGATGCTCCAATTGATGAACGCGCCGGCCGTGTTGAAAGAAATGGGATAGTCTGGAAGACGTTTCCATTCGTCAAGTTTCTTGAGGTCTAGGTACCACAGGTCGCGGTAAAATGGGCCCAGAGAGTCCTTCTGCCCTCCTGCAACGTACAAGCGGCCTGAAAGTCCATTAATATTGTATGAAGACGGTAACGTCTAGCTGTAGCTCACTGTTCCAGATGAAGCTCGCGAAGGCGAACCTGACAATTCCGCGTGAATTGACAGGTAGTTTGGCCCATGATCCACGAATCTGCAGCTTAGGATCCTTGAGCTGAAGTTTCGCCGTTGCAGAAGGATCGGGGTGACGGAGTTGAATAAGCTCGTTGCACCTCTTCGTGTTGACTTCGGCTTTGAGGCGTGGGGTTTGGTGAGGGTCGGGCATGCTGACGGTGCTTGTGCACGTTATCCATCTACGGTGAGCGGCCGTTCCTGAATTGTCCAGCGAGTAAAAGACCTCTGAGATGCCGGATAACCCGGCAGCGCGTCGGTAAGTGAGTTCAGGAAGATCGAGACCCATATTAATCCAATCTGAGGTCGCGTTAGGTGATATTAGGATGCAGATACAGGTCTGAAATCACCATATAACTCCTTTGGTTGCGTATAGTAGGTACATCGCTGCAATACATTGACCTCTTCAAACCAGGCAAGTGCCTGGCGTCAATGGTAGATCGAGCTAACATTAGCCTGAGCCAATCTATGGCAGGATGTTAGAACTTACACTTTCATAGTCCTTTTCCTTGAGAAGACATTTCGCCAGACCCACGCAGCAACCCATGAGGTCTGTTCGGTGGAAAATGTTCATATGTGTGTACAGATGACCGCGTACGCCTCCATTCCCCACTCCGGGAACACCTGGTATCCTGTGGTTGGGGCCAACGATCTTTACGGCATTTTTCCAGTAGGATTCCTTCGCCTGAGTATATTTTCCTACTTTCAGCAATTCATCACCCTCGCGGCTGAAATTTTGACCAGTGTCAAATCAGTACATCTGTTGATTTATCGTCCCAAACGCGTAACGTACCAAGACATTGCCCCTTGCATAACGAGTTGCTGAAATGGCGACAACGACATCTGATAATTGGGGAGAGATAGGGGAGACAAGAACGATCTTCATGGTGGTCGGCAGGCAAAATTGAAATGTAGGAACAAACTCCGACAGTCCGTCCAACCTTGTCTTGAATGACCACGGTAATGATATCATAATCCCTTGATATCCTCATGCTTTCGACTTTCCAGTAACTTTATAAGTCCACTGCAGCTGTTCTAATGCCAGGATCAAATATTGTCAAAACAAGTGTATGGGGTGATCTTCGAGTCATGACTTTGGCAGCGCAAGCTTAGATTCCGCAGCACATTGATTCGAACGCGATCTATGTCATTGCAACTTCAACCGGTCCACTCATGAAGATCATTATTATTGGAGCTGGTATCGGCGGGCTATCTGCCTATCATTCTCTTAGGAAGCATCTACCCAGCGAATTTACGGTCAAAGTTTACGAGTCTCATGGATCCACGATGACGAACGTGGGTGGTGGCCTGGGGCTTGCTCCCAACGGGCTGCGGGCTATCGCATCCATATCACCCAAGGCTGTTGAATATATTCAGTCGCGCGGATTTCCAGGGCCCATCTTCACATTCCGCAACTCGACCGGTCGCCTGCTGGGCGAATTCTGGAGCGGGCGCAAGGAGCGTTATGGCTTCGGCCAGCTGATAGTTAGAAGGGCGCATGTCCACGAGGGACTGCTGCAAGACATTCCTATGGACGTCATTACTTGGAATACCCATGTTCAATCGGTGCACGAGACGGCGGAGGGTGTTGAGGTGGTTTTCGCCAACGGGACGACAGAGCTTGCTGACCTAGTCATCGGCGCGGACGGGGTCTGGAGTGTCGTGCGAGATTCCATCTTTGACAAGGAGTACATCCCATTTTACGAGTAAGCACATTGCACACTTCATCATATACCCCTATTAAACACACATCCCAGTGGCTTTACGAGCGTAGGGGGCTTCATCCCGCTCGAGAGCCTATCTACACGGCTCAAGGACAGCCTGCAGACCGAGAGCGTCACGATGACTTTTGGCGACCAAGGGTTCTTCGGATACTCGCTGATCTCGCCTTACAAACCCGGCGACGATCTCAAGGAGCACTCTATCCAATGGTGGTCCATCTACGAGGCGGCCATCCCACCCAGCCGCGACGAGTCTCCCGCCACCGTGCGTGAGCATCTCCTTGCACGGCACGCGTCGTGGAAGTCGCCTCACGACACTCCCGGCCGACCTGTGTACGAGGAAATCATCATCCTGGGATGTGCGCCGGAAAACAGCAGCTCCGGCAGCCTCCTTGTCTTGCCGCGCTACGAGGCCCCCCGCATGCCGCACTGGAGCTGCCCGTCAGGCTCTGGGCGGGTACTCCTCCTCGGGGACGCAGCTCATGTCATGCCGCCAGACTCGGGCCAAGGCGCCTCTTGTGCTGTGGAGGATGCCGTTGCGATCGGACTTCTGCTGAAGCAATTTCACTCGACGGAGGCGCTCGATGTCCCCCAGGTGCTCAAGTGCACGGTGGAAGCATATGAGGGCCTCCGGATGAAGCGAGTGTGGCATATTCTCGATATGGCCAAACGGAACGGCGACAACAAAAAGAAGCAGTCCTGGTTGCAGCAGTTGGTCCGCGATTGCTTCCTGTGGATCTTCTGTGAGTTGCTCTTGCAAGGACCGAGGTGTTTGCCCTCTCTAATCGTATATCTTATTTAGGCAAGCTTCCAGAAGCACTCAACGACGGCTTGTATATGTACGATGTGGAGGTAGCAGTATGTGATCATCTGAAGTAACTCATGGCTGGAGCGACTAGGAACCGCCTGGCTGATATGCTCCAGTTCTAGTGTATGTTAGAATCATGATAAATCCCATGAGAGTCATACAAAAAAGAGTCCCGCCGCAGTTGGATTGGGGACATCATAAATTACAGACATGTCAAGTTGATGTCACGCAAAAGACTTCCGGTACGGGGAATCGAACCCCGAGCTGCTGCGATCAACAGAAACGGTGAAAGGCAGCAATGTTAGCCGTTACACCATACCGGATGAAGGGAGAGGTGCCACAGTCGTCTCGTGCGCTCAGGATCTCATATCAATGACCATGCGGTTGCCAATGATTTGCTCGAAAATTCATGAGATAGCACGATATGCGGCGCACAAGAAACTGTCTTCCTAGGACATCAGTATCAGGCCAATCTCAGGCTACGTCAGACCCGTCTACAGAGTACTACACAATCTAATCTGCGATTGACGCTGACTGATTTGTTGATCAGATAAGGACTTCGCCTTCGTTCTCAGGCGCCCATACTTATTCCTGGTTTTGGGCACTTCAGGGTGGTTATACGAATACTGGGGCCAAGTCTCGACAGCTTTTACTTACCTGGAGCTAATGTGATTGGTCCTCATCTGACTCCCTTTAATCTTCGTTGGGCCTGTGCTTGCCTGCGACTCTGCAACGTGTCAAAATATGCATTTTAGTCAGGCCATCGCCGAGGTTCGTTCGAGTTCCTATAAATAACCCTTATGAATCCGTAACAATCATCGCATAGGTCGGCTCTCAGAATGTTTTCTGTACGTGGCACCCCCCCGCATCGACGGCGTCGGATTTAAAAGAACACATGTTCGAAGATGTTGTCTCTGAGAAACAGCGCGATGACGTATTTCAAGCGAACCTCTACGATTTCCAAGACGAGTTCTTCAAAAAGGAGAAGGCCCGATGTGTCCGAGAGCGCGCACGGGTCGAAGACTTTAATCAAAGAGTAGCGAATCTCGAGGTAGCTTTCAGTGCAAACTCTTGTCGCCAAGAGGATGTTTATATGAAGGTCGATGCACACCAGGAGGCGATCTATAAAGCGTCGGAAGTAGTGAGAGAGAGACCGTTTTCCCCGACGGACGGAAGGAGAGTGGAAACGTTCGGAAGCGGCCGGGAACTAAGGCTCAAGGGCTCAGAGTGGCACAGTTCCGCACGCGAGATGCTTATCCAGAAAGCTCGACGCAAGTGGGGCGAGACTTACGCGGTACTCGACGCGAGCTTGATGGACCAATTCACGGTACTCCTCAGCTGCCCGGAAGAGGAATTTCTGAGCGAGCGCCGCAGGGACGGTTTGGTTGAGAAACTTGTGGGTGAGGGTCTATCCTTTGACTGCTTATCTTTCACACGGTGGTACTTCAGTTGGAAGGAAAGAAGCGGGAGAGAGCTGGAAGCCCCGAGCCCAGCAGGACGGCTCGAACACCCCCTACGATACGGAACGTATCTCCGCCTCATTCACACTACCGCACGGGGCCAATGGTAGTAGTGCCGGAGTCCCGAAGTCGAAGTTCAAGTAGAAGTTAAAATTCAGGCTGATCTCAGAGGAGGGATTATTTGTACCCACCACAAGTAATCTCTCAGTATCCACCTACTGTAATAATCCCAGGACCAGAACCACCGTCACCTGCCCTCCCTCGCTCTCGCTCTAGTTCTCGGTCTTCATTCCGTTCTCGCCGCTCTCGAAGCCCCATTTCGGCAGGCCAAATTGGCGGCAAAGGCCAGGAAGTGAGCGGCTCCGTGGGGCCTGCGATCAGCAGTGGACAAAGCTGAGAAGGCAAGACAAGGTATCTTTTGGAGGAGTGCAGTATGGAGGCACACTTTCAGGCAGCGAGGGACGAAAGAGAGGCGGCAGAGGACGAAAGGAGCCTTGCTTATGAAAAGAAAGAGAAGGGGTGATCGGCAAAATTTTGCACCATGCTTGAAACCCACGATGAGTACCATGTTGGCCGGGAAACTATTCGTGCCGAAGGGGAGATACGGCGGGATGTACACCTCTCTGAAGCAGCACATGAACGCCGCTTTCAGCTTTTTTGCCATACTACTATCTCAAATCGAGGGACGAGCAGAGGTGGAGGACAAATTCGAGGAAGCCGTTTGGAACATCAGTAGTGCTCATTTGAGGCTGCGATGAACGACCGACAGTATCGGTTCAGGACGGCTTCGGCCGACGGTGCGTGGCAAGACGAAATCCCTCCAAAGTAAGTCCTTCTTGCCCCCTCGGAGCATTCAAAGAGCATTTTCATTCCAAGGCGTCCATAGACAACTACAAGTGACGGTACATGCAATAATCATGTCTGAGGTGTGGGGCCTGTCGTACCCTTGACCGCCAACGCTCGCGTGTGCCTTACTTGTTTTATAGGGGACCATCACTTGGTTTGTTAGAAACGTACCTTTTTCCTTCTGTTAACAATCCGCTAATCTGCTTGTCTCTTTCAACAACTGTTTCGCAAGGTGAATTTCTAATTTGACATGATTGGTGGTTATCTACGCCTTTGGTCTGCCAATGACGATCGCGCCTCGCCGAAATTTGATATAAGGTGCACAGTGCCTCTTACACCTACCTCTGGGGGCATTATATTGATTCATGTCCGTAGTAATCCCATCGCAATAACGGCTTGGCGTTCGAACGTAGGTATCGCGTCTTGCTGTGCTATCCTTGGTCCAAAGAGACCCAACCACTATGCGAACAGCGTGGAGGGTGGAAGAGTACGAGTAATCACCGCTCTTAGTGATCGAGGGAATTCTCTTTCGACACTCACAGGATGGCTTCCCTTGGTAGAAGGATCGATGATCAACAATCCTTCTTTGGGAATCCGTCGATAGTTCTGATTGAGCTATTAGTAGTTTTCACACCAATTGCACATGCTTCCATCAAGGAGGCGTTGATGAACGTTGAACACCTGAGCATCTTCATCATGCCATGTATTGGGCGTTCTCATCCTACCATCATCGTCACCTATGCATCCAGTTCAGACTCGGTGAGTACAGGCGACCATTGGTTCCTCATAGGTGATCTAACTGAGACTCAATTTCATTACATAGACATTCCGTTATGTCACCATCAACAAATTCCCATGAGTTAATCACATCGGCATCCACGACAACGAATACTGCCGACACTGTGATGAAGCTCGCCAAGAATGTTGGTGAAATACTCAAGGACGTACCATATGTAAAGGCTTTGGCAGGGCTTATTGTACAGATCATCGAAATTCGAGATGTATGATGAGCTGACAGAAGGCAATAACTCAGTACTTATTCTTACTTGTCCTCTAGGAAGTCAACACAGCGAAGGAGCGATATCATGAATTGATCAGCAAGGTTCTGGACAGGTCACACATAGTCCTAGATGGACTGCTCTCTGTCGCAGACTCATCACGCAAGGATATACGAGATTCTCGCATCGAAGGAAAGTTGTCGAAATATCACAAGTGAGGCAAAATTTCCTCAACCCTCTCACTACTCATGTCTCTTCTATCTTGCAGTCTTCTTGTCAACATTTTGCGCATGCTCAAAGCAAACACGTCGAAGGGCATGTTTGATCGTGTCATCAATCGAAAATCAAGACTCAGTGACGTGGAGAAGTACAACCGTTGTATTGATGACTACAACACAGATTTTTTGGTATGTCTCTCTACCCTATTTGACCTTGTTTTTTATTGGGGTTTTAGACAGATCTGGTACTCCACCTCCACCTCCACATCAATGGAACTTTACAACAGGCTTCACTTCCATCAGCAACTGCTCTGTAAGAACAATAATTTGTATCTCAGGCAGAGCATTGACCCCATCCTCTTGTTTCAGCCTCTTTTTGTATAAACCTGTGTTACCTCCAGCTCAACTTATGGTTGGGAGAGACAAAGAAAAGTCCAAAATCATTGACACAATGCTACATGCAGTACCAGCCCATGTTGCAATATTGGGTGGAGGTGGCATGGGAAAAACAACACTAGCACTTTCAGTCTTGCATGACCAGATGGTAGTCAACAAGTACCCATCACGGTACTTTGTCTCCTGTGATGGCCTGCCATCTGTTTTGTCTCTAGTTGGAGAAATTGCAAATGCTTTACGCACTCCCCTTGCAAACCACAATGCACATCTAATTGACACCATCATCTCTTCATTTCCTGCAAACTCCCTTCTCTGTCTGGACAATCTTGAGACTATCTGGGACAATGAGGCAATGAGACAGGATCTTGAGGGATTGCTCTCTGTCCTTCAACTACATCTTAGCATTATTATCACAATGCGTGGCACACAGCGTCCATCTGGAGTATTCTGGTCAAAGCCCTTACTGTTGCCATTGCAATCTTTGAGCTATGAAAGCTCTAGGTGTATATTTGAGCTGACTGGGATACCTGTGGATGAGTATGTGGCAAAACTACTCAATGCAGTTGATGGAATACCCTTGGCTATTTCACTCATTATTGCTTTGTTAGAAGAAGGGAATGAGTCTTCAAAATCACTCTGGGTTCAGTGGGCCAAGGCACAGTCAGGGGTTTTGGAGAATGGTGGAAGTGATCGACTCTCAAATCTTGACACTTCAATCCATCTCTCAGTGCATGGACCTCGGATGCAAGCAAACCCTAAAACCATTGACATCCTTGCCATGTTATCAGTGCTCCCAGATGGATTTCTAGATGATGACAGGGCCATGGAAGAACTAAATAGCCACTTGCCAGAAGGTTACAACCTTCAAAAAGCATTTCTAACAATGCGACGAGTGTCTCTTGTCCACATCAATAAAAAGGGGAAATCTCACAGACTGCAGATGCTCAACCCAGTTTGTGCTTTTTGCAAACAAAGGCTGGAATTATCAGATGAAATCAGGAATAGCATTACATCATACTATGTTGAGAAGATAGGCCATTTTAAAGATGTTTCAGATCCTGATGGGCATGCAATAATCCCAGGTGAACTCCACAACATATATGCAATCTTGGTACAGGCATGGAAGCAAGGCAGAGGGAGTCCTCTAGTTGCAAATGCATCCATCCTGTTCACACAGTGGTCCACATATGTTGGGAATCCAGTGGAAGAAGTGATATCCTTGGCAATACAGGGAGTGATGGACCCACCTTATTTGCATGGAACATGTCATTCAACACTTGGAGAAGTGTATATGCAACAGGACAAACTAGATGAGGCTGAGGCATCATTTGAGTGTGCCATAGAGCTTCACCAACAGGCACACAATGTTCTTGGTGAGGCATACAATTTCCAGAACCTTGGAGTG